ATACATAGCTATATTATACATATAAAATTATGGTATATACTATATCATACACATAGATAGCAAGAGAGTGTTATATAGTTCTAAGGGTATCACTGTATTTATGTGTATACCTATAAAATGCATATATAAATAGATCACTAGGGAATGATATCTCTGTGTGTGTGTGTGTGTGTATATATATAAGTCTATTTATAAACTTACATATATATGTTATACTATAGATAGGTAGAGCATGAGACTCGTTCAGTTTATTATAAAGGTCTCCCTGTATGTGTATATCATATAGATGTACAGGGCTGGAGTGAGCTATGTAGTCACATAAGGCGCTTTCTCTGTAAATACATAGACAGACATATATTTAATATATGTATATATTGTATATGTAAAGGGCTAGGGTGTTAGTTACATAAGGGTCTCTCTGTGAGACCCTTTTATAACCATGTAACATGCTCTCTCTCGCCGTCTACTTTTATTAGTATTAGCATTAGTAGTATTAGATCTGTTGCATACACAGGCACAGTATAGCTACTAGTACATAATTACATCATGCTCTTGCCATTTATAATAAATAAATGTATTTTTTAATATATGTATACATATTTTTATGCAGTTATAAAATATGTACATTGTATACTGTAGTATATATAGGTAACTAGAGAGTTTATTTGTTTTGCTCTCTATGTACATATGTATATGTACTATAGAGAGCTACTGTTACATAGCTTAGGGTCTCTGTGTGTGTGTGTGTGTGTGTGTCTGTACAGACACACACACACATTTAAAAATACACATATAGAAATTGCGAGTTACGTAACGGCCCGAGGGGGAAGCAGACGTACATATATACGTGAACAGCAGACATGAAGCTAGCTAGGGAGTCTGGGGGTTCTACAGTTACGTAAGGAGCCTTCCCATCTGCACACGCGTGTGCACACGTCTATCTTATGTGTCTCTCTTCTGTGGCCAAGGTGCAGCCCTTGGCTGGCACGTGGCCATACACCTTGGCAGG